TCTATCTATCTATCTATCTATCTATCTATCTATCTATCTATCTATCTATCTATCTTTCTATCAGTATCTACTGTGTTTCTCCAACAATACGGCCTCCACCAATAGGAAGGCCCAGCATGTTTTATTGGCATAAAATCAAATTAAGCCCCTCCTCCCAAATTAAGGCCTATATTAAACATGCGAAATGGGGGGGAATGGCGGGGGGGCTTGCTTCTAGGATGTAGTTTTGTTGCATATCTGGATATGGTGCAGCCTCCATTGACTTTGGCATTGGTGGGGCACTTCGTGTCAGGAGACGTTCCTCCACCGTTGCTTTCCCTTCTTCCCATGCTGCCACGGCATTTAGAGCAATGCCACGGTGTTTGGCGCAGCCATGTGTGGCCAGCCAGGGGTCCCCCCTGCAACGGGAGCCCGGCAGAGACACTCGGCTTCAGGCGGTCCTGTTGCCGGCTTCCCTTCACCTTCGAAGGCAAAGCCAATTCTTTTAAAAATGACACCCTACTACCGGTACGACAAAGCCTCCCCTGCCCAAGAGGGCAGCCCAAGCCCATGTGGGGAGGCGAATCTCACGGGTCCGCAGCGCAGGATCGACCCACCCCGGGAGAAGCACCCAGCCGCCATCCCTGCCTGGTGCCAGGCAGAGCGTGAAGAGCTTCACCTGGGGCGCCCAGTGCAGCTGACAGACAGGCCCTCCTGCCTGGCAGCGGAACTCTCACCAAGGCAGCGAGCACCTCCCCGCTGGACCCTCCACTCACCCCGCCAGGGCCGTGCCAGAGCCGTGAGGGCTGGGCAGAGCCAGGAAAGCAAGCCGCGGGTGCGCGCCCGCCTGCCAAGCAAAAGAGCCGTTGCTCTAAACGCCATGGCAGCAAGGGAGAAGGGAAAGCAATGGTGGCAGAAGGTCTCCTGATACGAAGTGCCCCACCAACGCTGAGGTCAACATCCAAGCTGTCGCTGCCTGCCCAAGGATGCAAGGGGGGGAATTAAGTCACCCCCGAAAAGATGGCCTAGCCGGTTTTTCGGGGGTCAAAAAAAAATAAGGCCCAGCCTTATTTTGTGAAAAACACGGTATCTATCTATCTATCTATCTATCTATCTATCTATCTATCTATCTATCTATCTGTATCGATCTATCTATCACCTATCTAATCCAAATCACTAAACTATATCTCTCTATCTCTTTATTCTATTTGTCTGCCTATCTCTTTATTATCTCTCTCATCACTACAGGTAGGTTTCTGTATGTCTAGTTCTTATCTGTCTATCTATATATCTCTATCTCCATCTCTCTCTCTCTCATCTATTTCTATATCTTTACCTCTCATTTCTCTCTCTCTCTCTCCAACTCTCTCTTTCTCCATATCTATCTATCATTTATATTTATCTATCTCTTATCCATCTATCCATCCATCCACCCACCCATCCAGTTATCTTGCTATCTAGCTAACTATCTTTATCATCACCTATCTACCTACTTATTATCTTTCTCTCCTTATTTTCTATCACCTACCAGATAGGTGATAGAATTATATTATCTATAATAATTTATTATAGATAAATTATTATCTATAATTTCTATTTCTCTCTCCTTCCAAATATGGGATCTTATTTGACTCCCCAAAAATGTTCATGTACTTCCTTTTGAATGTAAGTAAGAGGACAGAATGGCTTTGCTTTCATTCCCAACTCTTAATTCTTCCTTGTTTTTACAGAAGGCACATTATGCGTATAGATTCCAGTACAACTTCTTTTGCTCTGGTTTATAAATATCCAGCATCCATTGACTTCATCTGCATCTCATTATATGGCTGCATTTCAGAATGGAACATATTTGCCAAAGCAACATACACTAATAATTGTATTTGCAATTGTGGAAGTTGCCTGGTTATAAATTGGATAGCTGCCATAAAAAGAAAAAGACAAAACTATCTTTTAATACACATGCACATGTGTGCGTGTGTGCGTGTGTGCATGTGTGTGCACACATAATAAAATAACTGGGCAGGGAGCCTAACAATCACCAAGGAGCATGCCTAAAGGTTGAACCATCTAGTCAGATCCTGGTATTTACTGAATGACCGAAGGACATATTTACTAGTTAAATTTTATTCTGTCATGAAATTCAATTATTCTCTCACATGGATAATCTGATTTTATGCCTCCCTCCCTCCCTCCCTTCCTTTTCTCTCTTACTAATTTGCTTTTATGAATGTTAACATTCAGGCTTCTCTCTGGGCCAGACTCCCCATGATGCAGGTCTGTGATTCTTCTGCAATGCAGTCAGGGCAGCCTGAGTGAAAGGATGACCGCACTAATACTTTAGGGAATTAATGTTAGAGAAAACCTGTGTTGTTTTCTCAAGAGAAATGCCCTCCCTACCCCAGTTCTACTAATTCCACTTGGAAGCAAGAAAAAAACAGAACCCCACTGTGAGAACAACAGTGCCCATGGAATAGATTTCTGGAAATACATAGGAAGTCTTTCTGGTCCAGTGTGGACAATTGAAATCTATGTGGTCTTTTTCATATTCCTCCTTTTCTGATACACATTATTGACTGTGCTTATCCTTTAGCTACAAGATGTTTCAGGTGTGATAGCTGCAAGAGCTGCTTATCATCAAGGCCTTTCATTTTTTTCCTCAAGGAAATTTAACATGTCTGAGCTGAAGTGAGTCAGCAGTAAACAGAGTTCTAGTAATATTGACACCGTAACCACATGAGGTTTTCTGCTATCCTATCGGTAAACCCCAGAATCTCTTCTACCTTCTACCATTCCAGCAACATTAAATTGAAAAATTCACTCCAAATGGAGTAAATCTAACACAAGGCAGCCCCAGGCTCAGAGTAGGATTAATTCCTAGCTATGTTGAGACTCCTTGACAAACTTTTTTTAAAAAAAGAAATCCTTTTAATTTAAACTTTATTCCTCATGCTTTTTTTAATAGCGATCGTATCATGTACTTTTGTAACGTAAGACACTTTTTCCGAGGTTTTGTGACTTCGAATAGAACACAAAGCAGTGCACAATTGAAGATTTTCCTCTAGGGGGAGCTGTAGTCCTTAGATATACCTAAAGCGAGTCAACAATGAATTCTCAAAATGAAATGAATATGCCACTTCTTGAGTGGTGTCAAAATGCCTAAATCCTCTGACTATGAGGTCTTTCCTCAAGTTTTTTTTGTCTTTTTCCTTCTCCTTCACTCCCTTCTTGTCATTTAAAACAGGGTTATGATAAGCCTTCTCTCTTTTGTAGAAAATAACCTTGCCTGCGCCACAAAATCTCCAGCTCTGTGGCATAAAATCTCCAGCTCTGTTATGTTACTTTTTGTCCTTCAAGCCATTTTGTATAACATCCCCAGTCAAGTATGAAAGTAACATCACATTCATTTTTCTGGACATCTAAGAGTTCTTTCCTCCCTTCACTTGAACTTTGGAGAGGAAATCTGATACTTAAAACTTTCAATCAAAGGGGTGGAAACTTTAGAGACACCCACAAAGATGATTATTATTACCCAGCAAACAGTTTAGTAATATGATCCCAGATGCAGCCACATCTTCTCATTTATATCAGTAGAAGAATCAAAGAGTTTTAAAAAGCTTTTTTTTTTTTGCAGGAGATTAGGTGGAAACAGAATTGTAACATGAGTCCCTATCAGCTTTTGATAGTGCTTGGACCTATATTTTGGATTATTCTTAGCAAGTCATCTGTTGCAGTGGACAATTTTGATTCTAATATCAGATGTTAAGGCACTGGATGAAAAGGCCTCGCCTTTATGAATAGAATTCTAGTGGGTCTACACAGGATTCCTAATAACACTTCATTCAGCCATTAATATGTCTGGGAAGTCAACAAACATCAAGATGTCCCGTGATACTAATTTAACAAAGGGCAGAGTTTCTTTCTGTGCCGATATTTCTGGATGCCATCTTGTAGTCTCATCAAAACTGTTTTTAATCTGTACTTGCAAGGTTATTTTAAGTTGCTTGGTGGGGACAGAAGCTACAGTAACTTGCCTGCCCGAGAAGTAATAGCTTGACCTACAGCTGATCCAGTCCTGATCAAAGGTGCCTTGAATCCATGGCCTCTCATTTTCAGAGAGAGATACTGATAAAGGACAAAGGGGAGAGTGATGGAAGCAATTGTACTGGCCATTTGTGACTTACTTTTATTGAGCAGAAAGAACCAGGGGAAATGGCAGGAAAGAGAAAGGATAGATCTCATTTACTCTGACAAAGAAAAAATAATAATAACACACAAAGAAATATAGTTCACATTGCCCACATTTCTCTACTATTATACAGCAAGTGAAATGTAGTGTTTTCCTTTTCCTTGGTTTGATGAAAGCCTGCTCTATAGTAAATTGAATCTCAGTTATGGAACTAATGTAATAAAACATAGAAGAAAGCAACTCTACCTGTTAGAAACCAACACAATCAAACCCACTAAACATTAAATTGTCTCTCCAGATGCTTGACAATTGTTCCTCCTGCATGCAGACCATAGAAAGGCTCTGTTAGGTCTGTAGTGGGATTGTGTAGTGGTAAAATCCTGTTTGCCTCCTAGATTACACCCCCCTCACCAACACACATGTATCCACATTTGAAGGGAAATATCAGTTATTTTCTTTGATACGACCCATCATTTGTTCTTTTATGCTGTTTAGGGCTCACTATGATGACACAGCTACCTACACTGCAGTGGCAACAAATGCACACGGACAAGCCTCAACCAACGCCGCTGTGATTGTGAGAAGTGAGTAAAGCCACAGGATGATGTGAAACAGACACAAACGTGGGGATATATTTGAATGACGTGGTTCGTAACGTTGTCGCTTTCTTCTAGGATACAGAGGGGATGAAGAACCGTACCCTGCTGGAATATTTCCCTATCGCTGTAAGTTCTCCTTGTAGTTTGAAGTAACTCTGGACCTGAAATAAGCCTCAGAGATGTTTCTCCCCCTAGAAACTTCATAAAAGATGGCCAAAAAAGTTTACTACAGCATTAGGCTCAATTCAAGGTGTTGGTTTTAATCTAGAAATTCAAACCAGCGGATCAGAAGCACTTGACCTATTTATTAACTTGCACTCTACTTTCAGTTTATGATGGGTTTCTCTCCTGGATAAAGGCTCTTTCTAAATAACGTCTATAAGGATTAAGAGCAGGAATGTCTTATCAACTTGACTTTATTTTTTTATGCTAAACCTTCTCCCTATTCTGAAAAAAGGTCTTGTGAAATTCCAACCCCCCAAACCACTTATTTTTAAGCACTTAAAATCAAGTCTTAGATTTAATTAAAAAGCAAAGATACTGTCTTTAGAATCTACCTCTCTCTCTCCCTCCTTCCCTCTCTGTCTCTTATCCATTCACCCACCCATATAGAGAAAGAGAGTCTAGAGTTTCTAATATTTATTTGTAGCAATGTTAGGTTCTGCCTCAGTTTGTTTACCTTCCCAATAAGCAACCGAGTCGGGAGATCATTAAAAGCAGCTTATTAGGTTATTTTGATAAAGTTGGATCTCTCTATGAAAAAGAAGAGAGAGAACCTCAAGCTCCATGTTTCACTCCTTTTTTAAACAAAACAAAGAAAGTGCAAGAGGAAAGTTGATTGGACAGGGTAAAAATAACTTCCCCTTGGCATAGGAAATCGGTTACGTGTAGTCAAACATGTTACATATTTGCATCCCATAATATCACACATGTTCATAAAAATGAGGTCTGACATCAGAAGGGGTATACACTGTAAGAAAAAAAAGTTGCTTGGAGTTAACAAAAGATAAACCAGACCCAAAGTTGTACTACAATCCTTTTTCTTATCTGGAGTTTGTTTATCAGTTTAGGAATTTTAAAAACCAACAAACCTGAACATCTTTTTAAAGGAGAGAAAATAAATCAAAGTAAAATACAAAGTAACTATGTTAGTTAGCAAGTTGCAAAATCCATAACATGTAAAAAGAAATATGCATATTTAGTGCATTTTAATCTCTGGCTTCTAACTTGGAAAAGTGATGGCACTTTTGCACACCAATAATTTTAAAAATGGGACATATTAGGCTCATATTTTGGTTTCCTGAGTTCATTGTTCTAACCCTGGCTGTGGGGTCACTGGTGGTCTCTGTGCTTGGTTGTTTTCTTGCAGACAGTTTATTACCCAACTAGGTAACATCTTTTAAACCAGACTTTGTGCATGTCCCTTTGAAACTTTAAACATATCTGGTATAGTCTGCAGAGGGACAGAGAAATCTTCTTAGGCCACATAGGTAAAGATATTTTCCAGGAGCTTATAGAAGAGCCTAACTGCTAACACTATCCTAGCTAGCCTATAGAGCATAAGCAAAAATCATAATAAAAATAAAAATGACTACTTATCATTCCAACTCAGGCACAAAATAAAAATATCCTTTTAAAAACCTTGAAAGAAAGAGAATTTTAAAGAAACAAGGCTGTTTCTTTAGTATCCCCCTCATCCCATCTTTGCCACAATTTAGCAGAACCTGACCAGAAGGCTGAAATTATTGAACTATATAATAACATCTGCTATCTAGGTGTCCATGAGTGCTATGGTAATAGAGCTGTGCCTTGGTAATTCTTGCTACCATCATCAATTTTGCAGAGGTGTTTTTTTCTTAACCCTGGAATTAAGGCTCTCATGCCTACTGTTGGCTTTCCAGCAATATAAGGATAAATGAATGAAAATAGTTTATGTAATGCAACTTCCTGGCTATGTAACTTAGAGCTTACATTTCTGGGTACATAACTCTTCCTTGTGGGGGATAAACTAATCTCACAAGAGATAAAGTAAATCAAGTGTTACTGTTTAAAAAGAAGAAATAAAATTTCAAAACAATATAACATTAATTGCCCCAAATACACAATTCTAACAGTGAAGAAGACTAATTACAAAGCTATTCAGATTATAGAAAACAGCAAGTTGATTAAAATAAAATTTGCAAAAAAATGTTCCTGGTAGATCACAAGTCTAATACATTGGTCTAATATAAATAACTTGTAATAACTTGAAAGAAAATGATTAGGCAGAGAACGTCAGATTAATATTATAGATCACAAGAGATTTAATGGGAAGAGAATGTCTTCATGCATATCCTATTTATGCTATTTATGCTAAAAACACAGCAGGAACAGTATTTAAATAATCTCAACTACTTGCTGTTTTCTAAGTGTAATCTGGATGTTTGTAACCCAGCTACACTAGTACCAAGCCCATGCCATCTAGTTGTTGAAGGCTTGAGAAGAATGAGTGGTCTGCTAGGAGAAATCTGGCAAGCCCCATGTGTTTGGGGTTGCTTTTGCTACCTTGAGTTGGCTTTGAAAGAGAAGTAAGGACGAGGAAGTCTATTTTCAGCTTTATAGCCAATGCTACAGGCAATGCAATCTCGATTCCCATTATTTCACTTCAAAGACACCTAAACATATCAAAGCACGTTGATGGATATTAAATAATTTCTAAGGTTCATCTCAACAATTGTCTTTTCAATTAACCTCATTCTTGTTTGCTTCCAGTGCCACTGCCAGATGAAATCTGTTACACACATTTTGAAGTTCAGTTTTTGGAGAGGTTTGGAGTCACCTTTGGGATGGAGGGGGAAACACTTACTTTAAGGTGTAAGATCTTGGTCACACCAGAACTGAAGCGTCTCCATCCTCGGGTTGAATGGTACAGAGATGGTAAGATTCTTAATAATTATTAATAAAAATTATATTTATGTTTCTGAATTTTCCAAGGATTGCTGGAATTTGTGACAGCTTTTCATGAGCTCTGCATCCCAAACTTAATAGTTGCCACTTAACCAAATGGCGTTTTTTATATTTCTTAAACTGTTCTGCATATTTGTTTAAGACAAATTTGTCTTTGCACCAAGACAAATTCCTTGTGTAAGCAATCACACTTGGCCAATAAAGAATTCTATTCTATTCTATTCTATTCTATTCTATTCTATTCTATTCTATATTTATTTCAGTATGATTAGAATATGTCTCCAGAGCTCAAAACCTAAAAATATAAGGTTCATTGATTAAGGGGTATCTAAGCAAAATAGCTGTGGAGGCTCAAAACCCCACAAAAGTCCAAACATAATTACTTGGTCAATTAGTAAGGTAATAGGACAAAACAAAATAATAGGAATTACTTTAGCTGAGATGAAACATACTATTTGGTAAGCTTAATTTATGTTAATGTTAAGTTGCAACCTCTCACCTCTAAGAATCACAAGCTAATTGATAGGAATGCCCCAAAGATTTCAAATCAAATTTTTATAAGAAGCCTCAAATTAAACCTAACACTGACTTTTTTTTTGCCTCTTTCCAGTTTTGGTATATATTACAGTTAGTGAATTTTTTTGGAAAGGATCAAAAGCATGTAAAGAAATAATTCTTGATTCTGACTACAGTTGAAATCAAACCAAACATATTTAAATCCTGTTGACTTTAGTGAGAAAAAACCCCCCAAGTGATTTATCCCATCTCTGTTAATCAATAGAGTTTGGAAGATTTTAATGTCGGCTGAAACAGGTGCTTGACAAAATGTTTGTGACATTGCTTCAATAGTGTCTCCCCCAATACACAAATTGTAAAGTTTCAGATTAGGTACCATTGATACAGATTAGTAGATCCTTCACAGTGTCTGAGGACTACACCAAACATTACAAAACTAGCCTATAGGTACATATGTTATTAGAAATAGCATCCATCTGAAACATGATAGCTTCTTCCCAGTATATTTGCTCTAAAATAACTGATTAGGAGATTCCAGTGCAGAATATATCTTTATTGTTGCTATCTTATTAACACGTACTGAAGTGCAACCTGTCTTTCAGATGTGCTAATCAAGGAATCCAAGTGGACAAAACCCTACTATGGTGATGGACAAGCAGCACTGTCTTTCTCTCATTTGCACAAAGATGATGAAGGCTTGTACACCCTGCGCATAATTTCCAGAGGCGGAGTGCATGAATATAGTGCATTTCTGTTTGTCAGAGGTATGGCAGCCTTGCTATTTAGGAGCCAATCCTGCTTCATTCTTTTTGAAGATTGAACAGAAGGGGTAGGGAGTGAAGAATTTTTGGCTTTCTAAAAATGTTGAATCTCTTCCTTTGAAATGTTTGACTACATTGCTTGCAAAATTGTTTGGGTGATTTTAAAATGAATGGGCAAAACTTTGGTCTGGTCAACTTCAAGAGCACATTCATGGTTAGCAAAGCATTTTGCCATATTTGTATCACAAAAAAGAAAATGAGAATAGTTGCCTTTCTGGTTTGACAAAAAAAATGGGAAATGACTATATAAAATGGCATGAGGGTTGTAATTTGATCTCATCCTGACATGGATAAATCCCTAGCAAATCTGGGATGGATTACCTCAATCCTTAAGGGCAGAAGTGCACCTGGAACACCTTCTTCCTATACAGTCTTTTAGTCTGAGCTAAAAATCTCAGCTAGTGTTTTCAGCAGATGGAAACTATAAAGTTGAGCGGATGTACATTCCTTGACATTTTGGTTTTGATGATAAGTTCACCATCATGTAAACAAGTCTGGTTGGTTTCAGTGGAATTTACCAAAGCTCACCAACTGACACCCAATGGCTTGTACTTGCAAGCTTTCCATGCTGTTCCATTTGTTTTTGCATGGATGTATGGTAGGACCGTGTTTCCCCCCTCATTTCTTGCTCTGCCTGAAGCACCAATGTTCTCAGTGAAAAAGCTCAGTAGTTCTTGTTTCTGCCTTCCCTGGAGCTATGCTGTCTTTCTCTGCAATATTGCTCCGTGCTCTTCAAGATTAGGAAGAATCCAACCTCAGGAGAATAAAGATGGTATCCGGAGAATTCAGCCAGGGAAACCAGAGAAAGCTAAAGTTGCCCACTGTTAACTTCAGTCAAATGTTTGGTAACACAACTCCTAAAATATCTTGCTGTTAGATCTATGGGCCTGGGTTAATGGGAGTTGGAATCCAAAATATCTGAAAAGGATTAGTGTGCTAATTTCATATATCCATCAATTAATCCTTAGACTATTGGTATACGAAGCCAATATGACTTGTGAAAACACTTTCATGTTATGGGCATGCAATATGGAAAGTGGTGGATATGGAGGGCCAACTACTGGTATATGCAGGTTCTTCTTTATGATGTTATTACTGTTTTAATGTTCTGTATTAGCAGACTTCTTGATTCTGTTGAATAATTCAGCAAATTTGGCTGAAAGCAACTTAATTTACATAAAAAGCCATTGAGAATTTCAGAGTAAAGTCTGAACTAGGATATAGAATCTTTGAAAATGTCCTTCCATAAAGGAATCTTTAGATTTTGTTAAGGAAGTAAAAAGATGCCTCACTAAATATTTTTAAAGGACATGTCCTTGTATAGTTACTTTTGTCTCATCTGAACCATCATGGAGACAGTAATAGAGACAGAAAGATTTGATAGATGTCTAAAGTCACTGTTGTAGCCATTGTTTAAAATTCAACGGCTCTCCATTCCCCACCCAGCCCGGCTTTTCCTTTATTAAGGAAAATTCTTGATGAATATTTTTCCTGAGAACCTGCGATGTTTGGTGGAAGGGAAAATTCAGTCTGGCGAATCCCCTAATCACTTTCCATAACATGACTCGCATTAAAACAGTAAGAACAGTATCATTCGATGTCTTTATTATTAAAACTGAATAGGGATTAGCAATGAAAACAGTGAGAGGTCCTTGGTGCTCTCTGAGCTTGGTTTTCTTGCAGACATTTCATTATTCAAACTAGGTAATATCATCAGTGCTAGTAAGGTACAGGGTTTGCTCTTAATTTAAAATCTAGTGATGGGGGCCCCAGGGGCACCAATGGATGTGAGCTGCCATGATGCCAACAGAGATTATGTTATTGTTACTTGGAAACCACCAAATACAACCCATGAAGCTCCAGTGATCGGCTATTTTGTGGACAGGTATATGTGGAAGGAATAGCATTAGATTCTTCTGTATTTCAAATAAATTGCCCTGTCAGTGTTGATTGCTCTGACAAATTGGCTATCAATGGACATATCTACATAAGCAATGTCTACATACTATGCAAAAGAGACAATCAACAAGCCAAAAAAGACCAGAAGACCTTCTCACTAGCAATCGCCATGAACATAGACTAACACCAAGAACAACATCAAACTAACAATCAAGAAGTAAACAATACCCAATCAAGGAACTGTCAAATAAGCCAACAATAAACAGCCGACCAAAAAGCCTCCCACCAATAACCAACAAAGCTCAGAGACCACCAAGGGCCCCTCATTTCAACCTTGAGCTGCAAATATTCTCTCTTAATGAAGATAGCATAATTAACGCTGGTGTGCTTTTCTCCAACTGAAGAATGGGGGGAAAAAA